TATAAGGAAAGAATATACCAAGACGAGCAACGCTGGAAATTGGGTTGACATTAATAGAGAAGGGTATGAGGCATGGAAGAACATGTCCGAGAAGGTAAAGATCGGATCTTTACTCTTACGAGCCTTGCCCAGTTGTTATACTATGGATTTCATGTGTTTTACCATGTACATTTGGAACTTGTTTTGTTAGGAGAGGCAACCGTATGTTGCAGAAGCTGAAAAGATCGACAAGGCTTACCAGAAAGCTTTGCTTGAAGAAGAAAATGATAAACTCGAGGTAAATCCAATGTTAAATACGTATATGCCTGGTTTTTGTGTTTTGACTGTTTGTGTGGAAATCGAAACCAATGGTAGTGCGTGATTGGTTCACACAATGCTACACGAGGAAATGAAACCAATGACAATGCGTGATTGGTTTGAGATATTGCCGCAATGACATTCCCGTTTTATCACTCCTAGACGTGTGAAAGTTTTGGGTTTGCAGACCTACCTTCACTGAATGAGTAGTTTCATCTTGCAGGTGGATGATGAGGCAGATTCAGCTGCGGCCGCCGGGAACAATGGGAAGGCTGGTGAGGTATGTTTGCTTCTTCAAGGCTCAGAATAAAATTGTGGTTTACTCGGTACTGGTTGGTTGGGTTAAACTTTAATCACCATCTATCTAGTTCTGATTGTTTATGGATGGGACACAGTTTTATGAAGACTACGAGAATTCTGACGGCTCTGATGTATTTTGGGATCACTCTGCTACAACCGGGTCTTGGCACACCTACCATGGGTCTCTCTCTCTCTCTCTCTCTCTCCAAAATGTGTGTTTATGTTTGGAATTGGAGAAATTGAGTGCGAAAATCACGTACCAATTTTATTGTTCTCTTTTTTGTAGTCTGTATTGCCCTGCTAATTTTTTTTATTATCTTTATTTGCCTCTTGAAACAGGCCTATAGTGCATGAGTGCACCTCATGAAACAGGAAAATGGTGCATGGTTTTTGAGCCCGCGGGTCTGTTGTCGCCAGGTAGAGGTGGAAAATTAAACCATTGTGTTGTTAATGGATATATGTTAAGATTTGTTTAATTTGATATCGCTCTAATACAAGGGTGAGATGGATAGTGGTGATGATGGTGTAAGGTGAAAGAAAATTAAATGGGTCTTAATGGGTATCTGTTAACAACCTAATGAATTAATTTGACATCTTTAGTGGCGAGGACAGTAAACTTAGGGCCGGTTTTTGAGGACTCTAAAGCTAAGAAATTGCTTTTTTTAACTGATCATTTTTGGGGGTAATGGAAGCATTCGATCATTTTTTAGATTAATTTTCCCGTTACCTGTTTCTTCAAGAACAAGTCATTTGGCTATTGTATAGTACCAAAGGGGTAGTTATTTTCCAATGTAGAGTTGACAAAGTTTTACTTTTTGATGTGAAATACTTGAGACCTAGACATTTTGTGTTTATATTATGGTTTAAAGAATGTCTACATTATCGTATTTATGCCTTCATTTGTTATATAATCCATGTAATATGTTGTATTTTCCTTTCTTTTTTCTGCGTTAAGAGAAGGCGAGAGAAATAGAGACTGATATGGTATAGGTAATTTATTTTCCTTGGTGCAAGAAAAAACTTCACTTCAAGGGTTGGATTAGTTTAGAATCTTTTTAGATGAAAGGGGGTTAGAGGCATGCTTTACCAGGATTCAACCTACTTCCATTCCATTTTAATTCAATTTTTTAACTATATTAAACTACTCTAATCTACAAAATGAAGTTTCGTAGCAGAGGCAGTATAATTTTGGCACATTTGATCAAATGTCTAGACATATTGACCTCAATTATCAAAGGTGAACTTGAACCATATTGTTATTATTTTATTGTGAGGTTGTGCTTACTTCTCCCGTTAGTTTGTATAATATCGTATGTTCAAAAAGAAAATACGGTCTTAGAAACGTCATTTATGTAATGAATATTATCACGTGATGAAATTGAGGAAGGCATAGCAAAATTACTTCCTTATGTGAAAATACTAAAGCTTTGGGAAAATGAGGATAAAAGAGAAGAAAACAAAAGAAAGAAAAATTTAAGGAAAAATTAGAATGCCCTACATCTTTTCTATAGTTGTTAGATTAAACATTCATCTCTTTTAAAGATTTGATTAAGGTGTTTTGATCAATTGCCACCTTAATAATTTTCTATTTATTTAATTTCGATGTCATTAAGTTAAATGCATTTATATAGAGGCATAAGGTAGCTTAGCAACTAATTGCCTATAATATAGGAATTTAATTTTGTCAATCCCCTTCTACGCATTAAATGATATTTTTTAAATAAAATAAAATAAAAAATTAATTAACTAATTCCTCATTACCTTCTTATCAGTATTTAAAAAAAAAAAATTAAATCTCTTTCTATTAAAAATGTCTCAATAAAAAGTCTTCAATACATATTTTTTCACGTATAGATATATAAAAAATATACTTAAAAACTTACGGTACATTTGAGAACAAAAGTATCGACTTTTGGTACGTTTAGATTTCAAATGTATCGAGAAATCAAATGTACCAAAAATTCAAATGTACCATAAAACCAAATGTACCCATTGTTATGTAATCTTATGGTACTATTGACCCTAAAAATTACAAAGCCTACGTGGCGGGCAGGCTGAGTAACTAATGAGCTAACTACGTCCTTCAGTTGATGCAAGGCATGCCAACTCGTCGGCCAAGCCTGGTCGAGGAGTACAATTTGTTGATGTTGCGTTAAGCGCGTTGCTGATTTGTTGATCTTGCGAATGCGGCCGAGGAAGGAACAAGTCTCGGCTTTTGGATTCTCAAGCTTGAAGACAAGGCTGCTAATTTTACGAAGTTCACGAATCGTCAGCGCTGGATTCGATCACAGTGATTATATTCGTGAGAGTATAAGCACGTCGAATCGACACTAGACTATATGGACACAAGTACTTAAAGGTAATGTATGTCTTGATGGTAAATGTGGTTCGGCCGTCAGAATGCCGAACTCTGAAACTCACTTGTGAGTATCCAATCATAAAATCACTCGGCGTTCAATGTGCCGAATGTCGTAACTTGTAACACTTTACTTCGCCGATAAGGCTAATAAGATGACCTCTGCTAATAAGGATTCGGAAACCCTTCTCGACCGACACTTGGATAGATAACCAATCGGCCTCGACATAGTGTTGTTTATCCAAACTGAAGATGTTCAGTCGGTTGCCTTCATAGTGCTGTTTATCCAAACTGAAGATGTGTTGGCGGAAAAAGAAAATAAAAATTCTTAAGATGTTTGAGAGGTTTGCGCATGGTAATTGTGTGTTGAATTGGAGAGTCCTCTTTTCCGTTGCCTTTGCATTTGTATTTATAGGATTGACAGTACTTGCTTGGCACGGCTAGATAATCATGTAGAGTCCATTTGCAACTGAAACTATGTTGAACATCACTTCAGAACTGGTGTCTAATCATCTTGGCTATCAAATATCTCTAAGATATGATAAAAGCTATCTCCTCATTTCCCTTGAAAAAATAAATATATACTTCTGCATAATGTGACCTCACCAAATGAAAGCATCCTATTCCAACTAAAACTCTCTTTTTCCACCATGTTAGTCTAGGTGCAACCGTGCATGCATACTAAATTGCATTTTATCTGCAACACAACCTGATCACTTTAAGAGACCATTCTCTATCAAAACCCATCTGACAAAATCTCAAGGTCCTTTATGATTATCCATGACTTTTAAAAAAACAAAAACAACACCTAGGCTTGTCACAGCACCAGGCTTATCACCCTATCGCATTAACTCACACATACATTCATTGTATGCATAATCCCATCCTTGCATGCTTCATTGCCGTGCGTATCCCAATATCCCATATGTTCAAAATCAATGGGGATTTAGATAAATATTAGGTTTAAATAATTTAATATATTATTAAGAGATAATATCATGATTAAAATCACAACATTATTTCCTGATAATAATTGAAAATTATTTCAACCACTTTGTCATTCAACAGTCTAAAATTCTGCTTATTCAACGGTCTCGATTACTCGGGCCGATAGTATAAAATCGGGTCCAAACAGGTACGTTTAGATTTCAAATGTACAAAGAAACCAAATATACCAAAATTTCAAATGTACCATAAAACCAAATGTGCCCATTGTCAGGTAACCCTTTTGGTACGTTTAGATTCCAAATGTACCAAAAGACCAAATGAACAAAAAATCATAAATATACCACAAAACCAAATATCTCTATCATATAACCCTTTTGGTACATTTACATTCCAAATGTACCGAGAAATACAAAAAATCAAATCCACTATAAAACTAAATGTGTCCATATTATAGGTAACTAGATGTAGCTATATAATCAAACAAATCTTTATTATGTGTTGGGTCTTCTAAATAATAAAATCTGACAATTTTTTTTATAAATATTCTACTATATTCACAAAAAAAAAAAGTAAAATTATAACAAACAATAAAAAAAAATGCATAGAGATGGATAATAAATGCATAAATATAGGCATAAGAAGAAAAGAAAAAAAAAGCAAAATATCCAGGAAAAATCGTGAAAAACTAAAATTCTAAACAAAATTGAACTTATGTGAAAAACTGAAATTAATAACCAAAATTTTGAAGAAAATGTTTGATCAAATTTTCAAAAGAAGTGTATGTTTAATCTAAAAAAATTAAAAAACGAGGCGCTTATATCAAAACGTCTCAAAATTAAAATGTTGTTAGAGATATTGACTTTTTGTGCGAATTAAAACGACAAATATTTCATTGAAAAAATATTGAAATCGGCCTATGGAAAAACCACAAATTAAATATTGGTTTTTTCTGAAATCACGTGATTCCCACGGAAAGGAGCAACTTATGGTCACGTGGACTCCATATCAATCTCACACCGACCCTCCCAACAAGAAAAATGAATTTTCATAATTATACCCAAAATGCAAGATAATTAGATTATATTAAATTAAAAATACTAAAATAAACAATAAAAATTGTAAGTACAGAAAAGGCTTGTACAAACGGCTCTGTATTCGTCTCTGATGGACTATGCCTGCAGCAGTTTCAGAAGCTCGTCTATGCTCCTTCCATGGCGATCACCGTCTCCTCACCCGCACACTTCCTTCGCTTCCAAGCTCAAATTTATGGTAAGCCCTTGTCGTTCTCCCGCAATTTCTTGCAGTATTTTTGTTGTTAATTGCTTCAATTTCATAGAAAGTGAAGCGTTTGGACATGGCGAAGCATCAAACTGTGGTCAGGAGTTCTTGTGGGTTCAACGAAAATGGCTCCGTCAACGGGTTTCCGGTAATACCCAGCAAGCTTTTCATGCAGGAGGTAATGATTTCTCATGCCCCTTTTCATATTTTCTTTATTTGTTGGGGTTTTTTTGTGTTTTATATGGGTTATAAAGCTTGAAAATTTTCGGTTTTGAATTGCAGTTTTGCTTGAATTTTCAATTTTAATGTTATTTGGAAACCAGAGCTTCTGGGTTTTGATTATTTTCCATTTTTAACAAATTTTTGGGTGGTAATTTTGATGAATTTATGTTTTTCCTCCGCTTTTCGGTGTTTTTAGGCGATTGGAGCTGAATATGGAGAAGGTTTTGAAACTTTTAGACCAGATGGACCTCTTAAGGTTGATGTGGTAAGTAACTTATGGAGCTATATGTATAGTACTCAAATATTTTTTTGTGTTCTGTGAAATTTAATTACTTGTTATACTTTCTGTTGCCAGACTTACTATTGTTAATTCTTATTCCGAGTAGGATTTTTTGAACGACAGACTGCAAGAAGGGTTTCTTAAAAGAATACGATATGCCATGAAACCAGATGAAGCTTATGGTCTAATATTCTCTTTTGACAATGTCGTGGTAAGTTTCTATAATGCTCATTAGCTATATGTTTCAGGTTCTGATGTCTGGAAATGAAAATGTAATGAAGTGTGGAAAATCATATTTATGACATCTTACGGATCAAGAAAAAACTTTAAATGTGCAATTATTGATGCGTAAAATATGTGTTTCAGGCTGATACTCGAACTTTGAAATTAAATGCTTGGAAGCAGCTTGCCACGGAAGAGGGTACATCTCCATTTCTTCTCTTAAATAGCCCATTCATGGCTTTCGATTGATTCTCAATATTGGATCATATGTTGAACTGGTATATGCTGATTCATGTGCTTGTAAAACCTTTTTTTCGTTCCCTAAAATTTTGACTCTTGGTCAGGAAAGGAAATTCCCGAAGATGCAGCTTTGCAAAGACAGATGCTTTATGCAGGTGCTGATCATGTGTTGCATAAGGTTTGGGATTAGTGTACATTTCAGGAATTTTGTCTGATTGTATTTATCTATTTCTACTCTAATAAAAATTACGATTATTTCCGATGACGTCTGAACCATCAATTCTTGATACTTATATGAATAACTCACAAGTTTCCAAAAACGTTCAGCTTTTACTCTGGGATAAAGCAGACGGAGAACTGGATAGGTTGGCTTTAAAGTTTTCACAATTATACGGTGACAATCTTCTCAGGGTGAGTGCTAAGCCACTTGTAACTTATTTGAGGGGGTTCAGTTTGTCTCATAGATGCAACGATCTTACTTGCTTTTTCTTGTTTTTCAGCTTAGTCAACCCGTGGAGGGGCTCAAAGAGTGGTTAGATGCTGTATCCACGGCTCGTATCCCTTGTGCTGTAGTTTCAAGTCTTGATAGGAGAAACATGACAGAAGCCCTAGAACGAATGGGTCTCAAGAAGTATTTTCAGGTTGGTGTGCTTTTGACTTACACTAATGTTTCTATTGAAATTTACCGTTGGGTTGAATGCTTTCATAATCATAGACCATCACACCCTTCATTTGTTGTTTTTCATTGAGATGTAAATGATAAACTCAGAATCCTTCATGTGTTTTTTGTTGATTCGACTTATATCAACAATTTCCTCTTTGTGCGGATACAGGCAATTGTGACAGAGGAAGATGGAATGGATTCGATAGCTCATAGGTTTCTTTCAGCTGCCGTGAAGGTATTGTATGCAACTTGCTATTATTAATTTACATATATGGATTGCAAGTGTAACTCTTGAATTGGAAGGTTGGATCATCACTTAAGGCATGCTCGCATGTCTGGAGTCATTCTGTCAGTATTTATATGTTCACATGTTATCATGTAGGATAAAAAAATTGCGTACTCGATTTATTCCCTGGTATCATTCTCTGACTCTCTGACCAAATGCATTCTTCTCCTTGCAGCTGGATCGGAAGCCATCCAAGTGCGTTGTGTTTGAGGATGAGCCTAGGGGTATAACCGCTGCTCACAACTGTACAATGATGGCTGTGGCACTGATTGGCACGCACCCTGCGTATGTACTCTCATCCTCTTCACCCTTGATAGCGCTGTTTATCCTTCTGATATAAAAGTTTTATCAAATACAATTAACAGAATACACATACAGACACGCATTCACTCGCGCATGTAAATATACATATATGTTAAGTACACCTTTGTCCACGTTCAAAGGTGTGGCACTTTACACTCTGAGATTGATTGAGATCGACGGTGGCACATGCAGGTATGACCTGGTGCAGGCTGATCTTGCAGTTGCTAGCTTTAACGAACTTTCAGTGATCAATCTTAGAAGACTGTTTGCAAACAAGGGTTCTACATTCATGGACTTGCAGAAGCAGGTTATAGAGAAATCTCCACCGAAGAGGAAGCTTACGGTAGATACTATTTTCTGATTCATTTTTTCCCTTTTGTAATTCATCCTCTCTACCTCTCACCCACTCTTGTAATCTACAAGCCGATCATCTTCTTTTCCTTGGTTTGTAATTGATCTCATAAGTTTGTTTGTGTTCTTGATATACGAACTTCTTATAGTGAAAAATCAAAGAAACTCGTATCAACGTTGCATTGTTCAAGTAGATGTTGGTTAGACCAATTGGCCAAAGCAGTATGCCCGCAACTTTGTATCCAAGTTTGAATAACCTTGTAATCTTATAGATTAGATAAATCAAATCTCCAATAAAAGATGCAATTTCTAGCATAAGAGCAAACTACATGTGGTTCCCATTAAATATTGATTTGTACCTTGACTAATTCTATCTCTACGAGGTTTCAAGTTCGATTCTCATTTTTGAATATCAAAAGGGGTTTCAAGTTTGATTTGCTCTCTCCTACATATCAAAAGAAAGAGAAATAATGAAAAAAACTTACATGGAGAATGTAAGCGGAACCGACACATTCTGGTCCAATTATTAATGTTATATGTTAATCTTACTTTATGTTGCATTGTATTATTAGACTAGAATGCTAGTGTGTCGATATCTTTGATCTCCGTAAGTTGTTCTAGAAAACAGTCCGTGTCTGTTGCTTGAGTCAATTATCAATGGATAAGATTGGGGGTCCTAGTCTCCCTTATCCTTTATCCAGCGTAAGCAAACGGCATGTCGCAATACACATACGACAATCGTCGAAACGCTTTTAATTTCGTTACCGTTGACCGTTAAAGCACATGGTGAAATGGTAAAAATCAACACGGGTGGGAAATTTCGCCTTATCGTTATTGTCATCCAGCTCTGACAGACTTCCTCTCCCTTCTTCTCCGCCATCGCTGAGAGAGCTTCGGATTAGAGAGACTTGCAATTCAATTCCTCCTCCGCATCCGAACATGGCTTGCATTCACAGCTACGGCTCCATAGCTTCCATCTCTCTTCCCACCTCCCCTTCGTTCTCGCCAAAATCCAGATGCGCCTACAAGCCTCGCTTTCTCTGCGCCCTCGGAGGTACTTACAAAACGATGTCGTTGCTTAATTTGGAGCTTTCGACTATTGGATTCTGTGGGAAATGGTCTGATTGGTGTTGGGTGTTTTCTAATTTGGGGTCTTTATATAAGATACGGTGTCGTTTCTGTGCTTAATATGAACTTTGAAGCTTACCCCAACTGGGTTATTTGAGATATGGTGTAATTGATGTTGGGTTTGCTCCAATTTGGGATCTTTGTTTAATACTTAATCGTGTACTTAATATGGTTGCTAATCAAGTTCGATAATGCCCACGTGCTTAATTTGAAGCTACTCCAGCTGGGTTTTGTGGGGTACTGTCTAATTGATTTTGAGTGTGTTCGAATTCGGTTCTTCATTTAGCACACAAATTGTACTTAATAATTTGCTAATAAGTTTGATAATGCCCAATTGTCTAATTGTATGGTTCATTTCAGGGAGTGTGGCAGAACCCCAAGTTGCCTCCGTTGCCGAGCCTCTTTTGCTCAATGCAGTTCGCGGGGACGATGTTGAGAGACCCCCAGTTTGGCTCATGAGGCAAGCAGGGAGGTACATGAAGGCAGGTTTATGCATATATCGATTACCATCTCATTCACTTTGAATTAGTTCTGGTTTAGTGTAAATTGGCTTACTAACTTATTTAAGCATTTTGATATGACAGAGTTACCAAACTCTCTGTGAGAGGTACCCTTCGTTTCGAGAAAGATCTGAAAATGTTGACCTCATTGTCGAAATTTCGCTACAGCCCTGGAAGGTCTTCAAGCCTGATGGTGTAAGATGTCACTCTGGGATTCAGTGTTGGTGGTTTTCCAGTTTAGCCACTTACCTGTTATAATCTTGTTATCCCTTCTGTTGGGTTGCTCGTTTCCTTTTTCTCACAAGTCTCCCCATGTGTTGTGACAGGTCATTTTGTTCTCGGATATTCTAACTCCTCTTTCCGGGATGAATATACCATTTGACATTGTAAAAGGTAAGGGTCCTGTAATATTCAATCCTCTGCATACTGCTGATGATATTGATCAAGTAAGAGAGTTTGTTCCACAAGAATCAGTTCCATATGTTGGGGAAGCATTGACAATCTTGCGAAGGAGGTCTAACATCTTCTCTACTTATTCTGTTCCAACTTTGAATATATTTTTCATTTCATCGTAAACTTGGAATTGTTACATGTACAATTCACTAAAAGTAGTACCTTGCCGCTATGGTGCCAATAATATTGTCATAAAGGAATAAAAAAGAAGAAAATATATCACATGAAATTTCAAAGTTAAGCTCTGAATCCTTTACGAAAGTGTGATTCATTTGAGTGCTTACAATATTATGTTAGACTGCAGGGACCTCGGATATATAACACTGCATACCATGGCTATGAGCCCTAAATGCTATTATATTATGGTGTAATTTACATTTTGAAGCTTAATAGAGTTTGATATTGGATGTGATTTGAGACTGGTTTCTCTGCTTCAGTCAGCATCATAACCTTTGGTATCCTTACTGATATCTTTACTTTTCCAGGTAGATAATAAGGCAGCAGTGCTAGGTTTTGTCGGGGCTCCTTTCACCCTAGCATCGTATGTGGTGGAAGGTGGTTCATCAAAGCATTTCTCAAACATAAAGAGATTAGCCTTCTCTCAACCAAAGGTAACTCTAGGCTGCCTATATCTGGTGTACGCAACTTTTTTTTTTTCAATTTTGTCTCCTAACTTGTTAACGTCATGGTTACATACATTGAGAGTGCCAATAAGTAGGGTCCTTTAGCAATCGGTTGGTAGCTCTTAGGGTATTCCCACCTTCGTTTCAAACCCATCTTGCGACTTATCATTTATATATTTGGTGTTTTCTGGGAGTGTTCCATTGTTAGCAAAGGTGTGAATATCCTTCATATCATTCTTGTTTGGTTTTTAACGTGGGATGCTTCCTACGGTATATGCCAATTTTGTTGACCTTTGGTTCTTTCCGCAGGTCCTCCATGCATTACTTCAGAAATTTACAACTTCGATGACAAAGTATATTCGATACCAAGCTGATAATGGAGCTCAAGCCGTTCAGATCTTTGACTCATGGGCCACAGAACTCAGCCCTGTGGATTTTGAGGAATTCAGTCTGCCATACTTGAAGAAAATCGTGGATGCTGTGAAGGAGACCCATCCAGATCTCCCTTTAATCCTTTACGCAAGTGGATCTGGGGGTTTGCTTGAGAGGCTAGCTTTGACCGGTGTTGATGTAGTTAGCTTGGACTGGACAGTTGATATGGCGGAAGGTAGAAGACGACTGGGACCAAATATAGCAGTTCAAGGTAATGTGGATCCCGGTGTTCTTTTTGGTTCGAAAGAATTCATCACCAGTAGAATAAACGATACGGTGAGGAAAGCCGGTAGAGGAAAACATATTTTGAATCTTGGCCACGGCATTGTAGTTGGTACACCTGAGGAGAATGTTGCCCATTTCTTTGAGGTTGCTAAAGATATCAGATATTAAAAATATATTTAGCTTGAATTGATTTCCTCTTTAGTTGAGCTCTTTCCTTTGTAATTTTTGTTCCCATTTTAGTCCTTGTTAATTATTTGCTTAATTAATACGGCTCTTTGTTTCTTCAAAAAAAAAAAAAAAAAAAAAAAAAAAAAAACTGCTCATTGTAATTTGTTGAGGACTTGATGGGCAAACATGGAAAGTCGATTGATATTCATCTTTCTGCAACTCCTTCAGCATGTTGCTCATTTTTTACCAAAAAGTCACAAGTTTGAGTTGTAAAAACAGCATCTTTACAAAGCAAAAGTAAAGCTGCGTATGATAAACGTTCTCCCCTCCCCCCTCCCCTCCCCAACCCAAAACCCCCCGCTCACTCCCCAGTTGATCCTCGCAAAGCGGGAGCTTGTTGGGTTGGTTCGCCCTTTTCAACTCCTTGAATATGGCCCTCAATTAGTATTTGGTCTTAAATTATCGCTTTTATATTTAGTGTAGGAAAAATCATACATTGCATGTTCAACGCGTGTAGGCAAACACTCATTTTCTGGGATTCTGGATGGAGAAGATATTTTCTTATTTCGTCCGTAAGCATGTGTTCACCAACCAACCTTGTCCCAGAAAATGATGAATTTGTTCGTACATCTATTGCACAATAAAATTAGAATAATTAGCGCCTGCTTAAATTGTTGGTGTTTTCTTTTCTTGGCGAATAATTTAGTGCAAACCTGTTAGGTTAACTGCTTAATGCTATGGACCAACCTTTTGCTTTTCCTTTTATCTGATTAATTGGGAGAGAGATTCAAACATTAGGCATCTTCGATATTGGAAAGAAAATTATCATTGGACTAAAACCTAGTTGGTTTTCGCTTTCCTTCTTAGGCTCTTATTTTTCTTGTTGGTCAGTTGGTCTGTGCTTATTTTTCGAAACTATTGGAATAACTAACGAGTCACTTTTTATACAACGGCAATGAAAAAGGTAAAATCAAACACATGATCTCAAATATAGAGTAATTGTTCTTAATCAGTCGCACTACGGCTCCTTATAATGACTAATAAACTACAGAGACTAGCATTGCAAAATTGTCAAAGTTTGATACCATGGGGCATGAGCATGCATGCCTGTTTCTAGCAAGCTAGGTTGGTACACGAGAATATCAACAATTAATCTTAAACCTAATTAAGCATACGGGTGTGCTATCTACACATCATATTTTACTTCTCACACACCTCTTCATAATTTATGTCTGTTAATTTTCTTTAATTCATTCGATCCGACGACCGAAAATTAAAAAGGTGTGTGAGAAATAAAATGAGATATATGGATATCACATAAACCTTGCAACCATCGAATCTTACCGTCACTAATCACTGATCACAACGCAACATCTGATCATTCCAATTTATCACCTATGGCCCGCTTCCCATCAATCTACAACTCTTCGTAATCTTAACAATTCACAAACAAACTGGCTTTGAATAAAAGACTTGTAGATATTGAACAAAAAATTTATAGCTTGAGTATTTAAGAGCGTATACTCATGCACCTAATGTTCTATGTATTAAAATCCCACCTCTCTCGACTTGCCTTCTATAGAAAGAAATAATAACCCTTGGGCCTCGACTCAGCTGTTACAATTTGGTTGGCGTGTCCAACTAAGGTACAGGGGCATGCTGACAAAGGTCGATTGACCTTCCTTAACAACCATAATTCGAATTTAGTGGAAAATAATACAAACAGCCGTAACGTACATATATATACAACTATACACACTGCTTTCTGTATCCCTATTTCTCCCCTTATTTTCTCTCTTTTCTCCTTCCAACGTTCAGATCTTCTGGACTCTTTGTGTTCTCCTAAAAAAGGTAATCCCTTTACTTTTCTATTTTTTTTTTTTTACTTTAATTTTCTTAATTTTCTCATTGACTGCTTTAACTTCGTAAAAATTATGTGTGACCATATTCAAATATTAACGTTGTCAGATGTTCTTTGAATCAGATAGATAACGGGTTTTTTTTTTGGAATTTTTTAGCAAGATACGGCAACTGAGAATGCAAAACAGATGCGTTTTTTCTTTCATTATTCAAGCCTATGAAGTAGAACTCAATCTGGCCTGCTTCCCTTGTAATTTGTTCTCGATGAGGCTGGATCCTAAACACACTGTGAAGTTGAGATCAGGATCGTACAAATGCAAATTGAAGCTGCTAAAAGAATTTCTGTCGCGTTGAAAGCGCCCGAAGGACTCCTGCCCTGTGAGTAAAATTCTCATAGTAGCATAATTTCTAGCAATAAATTTAGCGTTGCTGTTGTTGTTGTTATGGATTAGGTTTAGGGTTTAAGATTTTAAAATGGAAAATAAGGGCAAGATTTTGATGCAAAAATATGAGATTGGGAGAATGTTAGGGCAAGGAAACTTTGCCAAAGTTTATCATGCAAGAAACGTCCAAACTGGCCATAGCGTGGCGATTAAGGTAATTAACAAAGAAAAGGTTCTGAAAGTTGGACTAATTGATCAAACAAAAAGAGAGATTTCTGTTATGAGACTCGTTAAGCACCCGAATATAGTGCAACTTTTTGAGGTCATGGCTACGAAATCCAAGATCTATTTTGTTTTAGAGTATGTCAAAGGCGGCGAGCTTTTCCACAAGGTGTCGAAAGGGAGGCTCAAGGAGGAAATGGCAAGGAAGTACTTTCAGCAGCTGATCAGCGCTGTGGATTTCTGCCACAGCAGAGGTGTTTACCACCGCGATTTGAAGCCCGAGAACTTGCTGCTGGACGAAAATGGAACGCTGAAGGTGTCGGATTTTGGGTTGAGTGCGCTTGCGGAATCCAAGAGGCAAGATGGTCTTTCGCACACAACTTGTGGAACTCCTGCTTATGTAGCTCCTGAAGTTGTGGGGAGAAAAGCATATGATGGGGCAAAAGCTGACATTTGGTCTTGTGATGTGATTTTGTATGTGCTTTTGGCTGGTTATCTGCCGTTTCATGGAACAAATCTGATACAAATGTACAGGAAAATTGGAAGAGCAGATTACGAATGCCCTAAGTGGTTTTCGAATGAAGCGCGACGTCTACTCTAAAATCCTCAACCCTTACCCTAGTAAAAGGATTTTCATGTCAAACATAATGCAAAATCCCTGGTTTAGCAAAGGGTTCAACTCCAAATCAATTGCAACTATAAAAGAAGTCGGAAGCCCTGGTTTTTCGGATGTTGATCAGACTACTGAGCTGGCAAAGCAGCGAGAGTTGGCTAGACCTAGACCTACATGTTTAAATGCTTTTGATATCATCTCTCTTTCTGGTGGATTTGATTTGTCTGGCTTGTTTATGGGACAAGAACAAGATGTGAAAAAAGAAGTGAAGTTCACATCTGTGCAATCTGCCTCATCAATTGTATCCAAGCTGAAGAACATTGCTCATCATTTGAAGTTGAAAGTCAAGAAAGATGGAGGGTTAATGAAGTTCGAGAAATCCGATAACGGAAGGAAGGGTGCATTGGCAATAGAGGCTGAGATTTTTGAGTTCACTTCATCTTTTCATTTAGTTGAGATGAAGAAATCCAATGGCGACACATTGGAATTTAGGAAGATGTTGGAAGATGATATAAGACCAGCTCTCAAAGATGTTGTGTGGGCATGGCACGGAGAGCAGAAACAAGAACAAGAACAAGAACAAAAACAGCATATGCATTATTCTTCTTAAGTCTGCACATCTCATACTTGAATGATCTCAAGCTTTTCTAATTTAAACTATTGTTTGATGAATTTCTTCTTGTAATTATTGTGAAGTTATTGTTATATCAAGGCTCAATTGGTTTTGTAAGCTTGAAGTTACACGTGATTGCATATTATGAGTGAGGTTTTCCAATCTTTTGTTCCATTTGACCAATCCCAAGTTTCGTTTAGACCTTTTGGGCTCACACCATAAATTGTACTTATGATGTTCGTTACAATATCCGTTTTAGTAAGGGTAGATATTTGAACCAGAAAAAGATGAAACAGGGTGCAACCAAACCAGAAAAAAATCAATGAGTAAACTTAATGTAACTCCAATTTTGTGAATCAGAATTGAGATCAGTCCGCTTTTTTATGGTCCACTCACTAATTAGCCATATTCAAACCGAACCAAAATCGAACAAAACTAATTATTTTATTCATTTCAATTTTATATCAAGGTGAAGTATACTTAAACTAAACAGACCATGCATACCACTACATTCTATGCATCCATCTTCTGTCAATGAAGTGCTTGTATTTCATTGAGAAGCCAGATTTTCACGTAAACCCTAATAGTAAGCATTAGATATATAAGCGAGTTGACTGGCCTTCACAGACGCACCAATACAGCCGATCGGAGAACCATGCATATTTACAGGTTCGTTTGGATGTGCTTTTAAAATGATTGAAAGTGCTTTTAGAGAAATTTAATGATTTTGGATTCCAAAAACATTTAAAGTGCTTTTCTAGGGTTTATTTGCACCTTTACTAAAGATGGGTTCTAAAAACATTTTCACCAAAAATGTTTCCAGTCATTTTAAAAACATATCCGAACGAGCTCTACATCTAATATGCATTATTAGGGTCTACATAAGAGAATTTTCACTCCAATGCGTCACTAGTAATAATAAAGAAAGATTAATTTTTCTGTACTCATTTTGTGTCTGGTATCTCTGTTGTCTTTATTAATTGACGCATGTTAAATTTAATTATGGCAACAAAATTAAAAAAGATTAAGTTTATTAAAATGTATTAATCAATAATAGAGGTTAAATAGAAACCATACATAAAAAGAATGCATAAAATTTGAACTCTAATAAAGGTGCCTAACTTTTATCATCATCATTTGGAGCAGCTGGCATATGACCCCATGTTAGCATATTCCAATATTGATTGCTGTGTGGCACCCAAATGGAGCAAGACGCATAGAAAAAGAAATGCACAGATTAATATTGTGAGGAAGCAAAGCAGAAGCATATATATATATATATATATATATATATATTTTTTTTTTTTTTTTTTTGGGCCACCTCTTAAATTCCAAGAACTTAAAAGC